TACCTGTGCTGGTAGCTTCATGGGCGCAAATCTCGTGTCACCCTGTCCACACTGACAAAATGAGACGGAAAGTCAGAGCCTCAGTAAATCACCTGCCATGGAAAAGCACAGATCCTTGTGGAATGTGGGGGATCACCTAGTGCTACAAGAAGTCTGTGTGCTGTTTCCTTCAGAGCAGTGTCATCAGAGTGGACTGAGGGAGCAGCGTCTCAACAGTCCTGGTCATACGATCCCAACTCACGTAGCAGGTGCTGGAATGAACTTGGTATAAAATAGGGGGACACCCCACCCACAGCCTCACAGTATGTTTGACAGCAGGAGCAGGCGCAGATGGATATGTTCTCTCCATTAGCTGTGGCCTTTTGGAAGTGAGCAAAGTCAGCTGTGGTTTAACTGTCCTTATTTCATCTTCCAACACCCGAGCCACCGCTTGCACAGCCCCAACCAGCAGGGGCTGGTTTGACTTCAAGCATTTTCCACAAATCAACCACATTTGACAGAGCACATTGACAAAACGAGCCTGAGAAAGTAAAGCACCATCACCACACCAGCGCCCTCCTGCCCCCCACACTGTCTCCTGCACCACTACCCTCCCCCTCTCTGCACCTCCCAGTCCAGGGCAGCCCAGGTCCAGTTGGGGAAGGAAGGTGCTAAGGAGTTGGAAGCCACAGGAGACACTGCCTAGGAGCCCCAGCAGTGACATCAGCCCCACACAGCTTTCCATCATTTGTTAGTCTCCCCCCTCTGTGCCTCTGTGCTTTCCACGTGCAGTAACAGGTCCAGATCTCTCAGTAGAGGCTCAGACATTTGTCCTAAGAGGTCTGATCACATTCTTGAGAATCAAGGAGTAGACCGAAATTAAATTTCCACTTTCTTGTATCTGGTGGGTCTTAGGTTGTTTCCACATGGGAACCTCTACTTGGTTTCCAACAGAACCTGTTTCACAGAAACTGAAGCTGATTGTAAGTAAACAAAAAATCCTTCCCAATTTTAAATGAGACATTGTTTTATTCTAATATATAAAAACTTCTACTTCAAAACGATTCATTAGAAAAAAAGAAAAATAAACAATCACTTTCTTGTTCACCTACCGACCATGCATTGAACATTTTGTTTTACACCCATGTTTGAAAAGATACACATATTACTCAATAGAAACCATGTTCAAAGGACTGAACAAATATTGCACACAAAAAAAATATATAAACAGACTCAATATATGAAAAGATGGTTATCCTCATCAGAGAAAAACAAACTCACCTTGGTGGAATACTGTTTTTCATGTGTCAGATTAGCAAAATCCTGATGTTTGACAGCAGTGTCCTGACACTCACTTACATGTGGTAGAAACGCACAGTGGTACTCTCTCTATTGGGTAAGTTGGCGGTACCTGTCAAAATGACCAGTCCACATGTCCATAGTGACATAAAGCAATATTATTCAGTAATAGCAATAATAATTTCAGCATATTTTATAATAGTAAAAGATTGGAAATGATCCACTGGTCTATCACAAGAAACTGATCTTACAGAGTCACCAGTGAAATACTTTGCAGCCACCCTGTATACTGACATAAAAAAACTTAAGGATGTATAAATGAGAAGTGCAGAATAATGTATGTTGTATACTACATTTGTGTTAGAAGGAAGAAAATCCGATTTGTGCATTTATTTTTTATGTGTACATTCATATTGCATACATTAAAACTGGAAGGATGCACAAGAAACAAAAGTGTGACCTGTAAGTGGGTGGGGAGGTAGAGACAGCGGTTGAAGGAAGATTTTCCAATTCTGTTTTTAGAGCGTTTTCATTTTGGAACCATGTGAAGGTGTACTCTAAGGATTTTAGGGTCCTGACATGCATAGTTCTTCAACAACATTTTCTGATTAATTTATCATTTTTTTGACAATCTACATTTTTTGTAGATGCATACTGCTTCATCATACAACATCATTTAGTTTGTTTTAGTTTCTTACTGGGCAGTTGAGTTAATTTGGGACCTTTGTAAATGGTAGTATGGTATTGCACATAAATTTTAGTGCATTCCTTTTGTGTGTGGGTGTGTGTGTGCATGCACACATGTGCATGTGCGTGGGAGTGTCAGTTATTTTTTTTTAAACCATTTTTTCATGTGTTTTTTTTTTTAAGATTTTATTTATTTATTTGAGAGAGAGAATGAGATAGAGAGCACATGAGAGGGGGGAAGGTCAGAGGGAGAAGCAGACTCCCTGCTGAGCAGGGAGCCCGATGCGGGATTCGATCCCGGGACTCCAGGATCATGACCTGAGCCGAAGGCAGTCGCCTAACCAACTGAGCCACCCAGGTGCCCTCAGTTATTATTTCTAAAGTAGAGCTGCCAACAGTAGATGCTAATGCTGCTGAGGACTCACATGTGCCCCCAAAATTAACTCCTCTCATCCACACAACTCCAGGAAACAGGACACACTGTATCTCCTTATTACGGATGAGAAAATTATGGCACAGAGTTCAAATAGCTATAGACCCAAGATTTCAGTCCAGGCACTTGGTGTTCGGAGTCCAAGCACTTAACCCCTCCCCCACCCTACCTTTTCAGTATTAGTGGGGCTCTTACGGTGTTCTTGTGAGATCAGGAAACATGGTGCCCGTGACACACTGAGCACACCCACCAGTCATGCGACATGTTATACTGTCACCACAGAACGTCTTAAACCAAATGATCTGAATCTGCTGATCTTTGAAGGAGAAATAACCTGGGCACCTTCACTGGCTGTGGCCCCTGGGGCTGGTGCCCCAAAGAAGACGTCATAAGGAATATCTCAGGGTAAGAATTAGAAATGTGGAATTGACCATTATTACAATCACTGCTGAATTGGAAGTCTCAGTTGTCATGCTGTCCCCTCCTTGGACTCTCAGATTGCACCAAATGAAAGTACACAGAGGCCAAAGTAGACATTTAATTGTTTTTATTATGCCTATTTTGTAAAACAGTACAAAATTCAGGTAGCAAAGATTGCAGCTTCCAGATGTGTAGAATAAAAGGCTTCCAGGCAGTTGTCTGGAGAAGGAGCCCCAGGGGACATGACTAGAAGTTACATGTGGGCTGTACTCAGAGGCATGGGGACTGGGTGCCTGAGGAGCTGGTGGACATTAAGGAGAGAATGGTGCTGAAGCCCCTATGGATGGCCCCCTAGCCCCACCCCTAGGTCATGGCAGAATTTGTTCTTTTGGCAGAGTGAAAGTTTCTGTTTACCCAGCGGTTTGTTAACCTGTTCTGCAATAATGACACAAGAGAAAAAGACACACTTGAACTGAAATAACCCAAACTGAGAAAGCAAGCCCCGACTAGATTCTCAGCAGACGTTTTTAGGGACAATAGCCCATGGAGACAAGTGGACCCTTGGTGCCACCATGTGTTGGAACTCTTCCCATTGCCATAGAGTGCTGGTCTCCCAAACAGATAGAAGGTGATGATGGTGGAGTAGATCAGGCTCTTGAAGAAGAGGAGGAGGTAGATGTAGTAGGCAGAAGTGGTCTTGAGCTGTAGCTGCAGGGTGGCTGTAAGAGGTCATTTATTAGTTTCACCTGTTCTTTTGAAAGACTAGGTCTTATTAACGGGAGGGAGGTCATATTATACATTTCTGAATATCTAGGTTGAAGGGACACCCCCACCACAAAACAACCCAACAGTAAACATCTATCCACCAGCACCAGCACCAGCACCAGCACCAGCACCACCAAGACAACTCGAATCCAGCTCGTACGTCAAGTCAAACAACCACCTCTGGGAAATTCACTTAGAACATTTCAACATATTAAAAAGTAAGGTTAGGTCTTAGATGAATGAGTCAACCTGAAAAAAAGCACTGGTGGTAAGTAGCTTTTACCATTTCCTCACCCCTACCATGTCTGTAAGTAATAATAATAGCTAATATGCTTTAACCACTAACTAAATGGCAGACATTTAATTTGCGAGGTTTGTGTACAAAGCTTTAATCTTACTTAATTTTTCAATAACCTAGGAGATTATTATTTTCATTGTCATTTCACAAATAAATTGAGGACAGAGAAGTAACTTGCCTGATGTCATACAATTTACTAAGTACCACAAGCCAGATTTTATCCCAGCAACATAATATGAATTCAAGAACACATTCTTACCTACTCTGTATTTCTGAATCTCCATATGCAATAAATACCCTTACAACAAACAGTTAAGCATAAATATAAAGATGAATTGCTGATTTAGAAGCATCTTAGCCATTACACATTGCACATTAATGAGAGTCCTATCAAGGGTACAATCAATGGAAATTTGGTTGTGTTCAAGGTAGGGTAGGTGGAGGTTTTAGTAAAGAGGGCATTAGTTGTGATGAGCACTGGGTGATGTGTGGAAGTGTTGAATCTATATAGTACACCTGAAACTAATATCACACTATATGTTAACCAACTGGAATTTAAATAAAAACTTTGGCTCAGTCGTTAAGCATCTGCCTTCGGCTCAGGTCATGATCCCAGGGTCCTGGGATCGAGCCCCGCATCGGGCTCCCTGCTTGGCGGGAAGCCTGC